TACTTCACCACGGACAAACCGCTCAAACACCCTGAAAAGATTACCACCAGTACTACTCCACGGCCTCCAATTTCTGGAACCAGAAACTCGATAGCTCATTCCCTTTCTCAAGAACGGAAACCATGTAACTCTTGCCATAGAAGGTGATGGCTCATCCATCATCCGATGGCTTGACTCGAACCCCGCTTCTTTAACAACATCATCCCCCTTATCCTTAAGCCGTGCAGTTTCCACTGGCGCCTCACAAATAAAACCTCTTAAAACGAATCCCATTTCTATTTCAAGCATACTCCCTCGAACTCATTCAAATTGGCCCTCAAGCCGCATACTCTCTCATACGTGATCTCAGTATAATTAACATAATGGCATAATTGGTAGAAACAGTAACACTAATCATCGCAAGCATGGTACTCGAACCATGTTGCTATCTCTCTGCCTGCTATAAATCATGGTTATCGAACCATGTTATCTTCTCTCAACCCGCTACAAATCATGGTACTCGAACCATGACATAACTTCCCAACCTGCTTCCAAGCATGATACTCAAACCATACAATCCCCTCTCATCTGCCACTGATCATGGTACTCAAACCATACGATCCCTCTCATCTGCTACTGATCATGGTACTCAAACCATACGATCCCTTTCATCTGCTACTTAGAATCCCAGGAACTTTCCATGTATCGAGTATGGGTCCTATGATTTCAGTAGTACGGGCCTATAGTACCTGCCACATCTACCCATACTTTCCACATAAATCATCCCATATCTCCTAAGTATCTGCTCAACCTCCTCACCTACAAATTCCACCCTGCTGGCCGCTCTTCCTGCGAATACTCTCCATTATCCGCCTACTCATCTAACAAAGATGACTTCCCAGGATCTTCCTAGGTTCCCACACCTTCCTGCCATCAGCTACTGAAGAAATCCTAGTGATGCCAGCCATCTACCTCCTGAATATCATCATATTCACTTAGTATCCGACTCCCATCATCGAGAATTCCACAAAGCACGAAGCAAGCAGCATTCGAGCATTGAATAGTCCCTTATCAACACGTATCACCACTCTAGGTTACAACTCCGCTTGCTACACTCGTAATCAAGACTTCACCGAGCTCAAGCAACTCCACCCCTCGCGGGTATCCGACTACCTTCTCAGAAGGATCCTCAAATGCTCGTCTAGGTATCTCTCCTAGATTACTCCTCTACTCAAATCCTTATCTAAATAGGATTCCTGCTAGATACTCATAATCCGCACATACACAAAAGCAATTCACAGATAACAGTAACTCCTAGGCTAATGCATCACAAATCGGGCCACTCTAGCGCTAAAATATGAAATACCTAGCCTACTCTCTAGCATATATAACATTTCACATATTACTCATAACACATAATGTAAGGGTATTTTTGGGAAATCACCGTTCGGGTGCTGGCTGATTGTACACACTACTCATTGTCTCTTTCTCTTATAAATTCTCTAACTCATTTTTAGAAAACCCATTTCTTTTGAAAACCTTTTTCTCAATCCTCAGTTTGAGTCCGGACATACCCGAAGGTGTAACCAAATCCCTCAAACCAAGGCTCTGATACCAACTTGTAACACCGAAAAATTTTAAATTTATTTTATTCATTTTTATTTCATAAAAATACACATTATTCTATATAAACACTTTTTATTTAAAAATCATCAACAAGGTTTTCAGAACATTATGAAATTCCAGGATATGTATTCCTCACTCTTTTCTCTTGTGTGAGTACAATCAAGTCGTCGCCTTCCCGCGATTCTGAAAAACTTGAAACACATAACACATAACACGGTAAGCACGAAGCTTAGTGAATTCCCCAAAATACCACATACAACACATACGCCACTCAAGGCTACAATATGACCCTCCGGTCGGTGTGTCTCAGCGGAACCCTCCAGTTCCGTATCGTTGGACCCTCCAGTCCGGTCTATATGTTTGGACCCTCCGGTTCAGTCTATAAACTCCGCATAGCATAAATCACAAAGACATGATGCATAGCATATCACATATAACATAATACTCAATGTAAGCACATAAGACCCTCTGGTCACACATAACTACCACTCAAGGTAATGTATAGTGAGAAGACTCACCTCGGGTAATTCTCGAAAAGTCTCAAACTCAAAATACCGATCTAGCCACCGCCTAATCACATAAAGAAATAACTCTAAATCAGCAGTGGTTCTCAAAGTCTAGACAAGTCTCGTACTATGCTTCCCAGAAGGGTAAAAGACCATTCTACCCTTCCCCTGGCCCAATAGTCCACTGGTTGACTAAACCCTAAAAGTCAACGATCCAACTTTGACCAGACTCGTCAAGTCAGGAAACGACTCGGCGAGTCCACACGCGTAATCAGATTCCTCACAAGGTCTCACTCGACTCACTAAGTCACCCACCCAACTCGTCGGGTCTCCACTGATCACGAAACTCGGGTAACTCGATCCGACTCGCTGAGTCCTCCTATGAACTCGGTGAGTCTCCTCCATGACCAAACTCATCTGATTTTCTGAGGTCAGATCTGCTTCACCAACTTGTAAATCTATCCTTCTAGCACCCACAAATCCCATAAAGGTCCAAACTTTACGTATATGAATCATGATTAGAGCCATAAATGAAGAAATAGTCATCTAAATGGAAACCTAGGCTCAAACTCTCTATGTGACTACATAAAGCTGAACATAAGGGACTCTCTAGACCTCCCATGGTCCAGATCTAAGGCGTATTCCACATTGGGAGCTCAAACATTCCATAAACCTCTAAAGAGAATGGTTAAGAAACCCTAGATTCATGAAATCAGCATCAACACAGGAGAAATGGTTTGATTTGTTACCTCAAAGTGAAGCTCCAGGCTTCATAACCTCAGTACATCAACCCCCTCTGGTCCCTCTTGCTAAAATTTCATCTTCTCTTTAGAAATGACACACCAAAATGCTCAAGATGGCTCTTCTTTACTCTCTAAGCTCTCAAGGATTATTTAGGTTTTCTCCAAGGTAAGGTTAGCCACAATTGAAGACCCTAAGGCTCTTTAAATAGATCCCAAACCCGGACAATTAGGGTTTTCCTCCACAGCACCGACTCAGCGAGTCCAATGCTTGACTCGCCGAGTCTATTCATTTAAACACGTCACCTGATCGCGCCTCTACTCGACAAGTTAATCCACTAAATCGCCGAGTCCCTTCGATTAAATCAAAATATATAAATAATATAACATACCTAAGAATATGAATGTTACACTTCCCAAGCTCTTTTCTCCAAAATCCCCTTTCAAGGCTTCAAACACACAATGCACACACATACATGTATTAGGGTTTGGTAAGAGACTGCAAAGAGGCTGGAAGAGGTTTGTGTTCCCTTAAATAGGGTGCACAACCCCGGGATTTATGGTTTTAGCTACCAGCTACTACTCGCCGAGTCCCAATATGGACTCGTCGAGTAGGTCACTTAATCCGCGATCCTTCCCACTGCTACTCGACGAGTAGATCAACCGACTCGTTGAGTAGGGCTTAATCCTAAAACTCGAATTTAGACAATACCTGAGAATTGGGGTGTTACAGATATCATTCTCATTTACGCCAATGAATTGTCAACCATTAGGATATGAATCGACCTTGAATTATAACCGTTCATGACAAACATATGAATATAACATCAAAACAAGAAGAATAAGAAGATGTGGTGGGGGGATTAGTTCTATTTGGGAGAGAGAGAGAGAGAGAGAGAGAGAGAGAGAGGTGGACTCCTTGAATATTAAATTTTATTTTTTCTGTTTAAAAAAAAACAATTAAACAGAAACCTCATAAATGGTCCATGGGATAGTAAATGATGAAAATGTTCTTCACTTAACGGACAAATACTGATGGAGTTCGCCAAAAAAACTAAACATTAAAAGTTTTGAAACCACAAAGACCATCCGTGAGATTTTTTAAAATTAGGGACGAAACTTCAAATTTTATAAAACCACATAGACCATTTATGAAGTTTTGTCATAAACATATATTGTTAGGATTGTAAATTGATATGACATGATATATTCATATATGACTATTACATGATATATTTAAATATAAATATTATATGGTATATTCACTTGTGAATATTATATATTATAGTCATATTTGAATATTACATAGTATATTCACTCATCAATATTACACAATATATTAAATATGAATATTATATAATATATTCACTTATAAGTATTACATATTATATTCAGATTTGAATATTTGATATTACTTTCATTTGTGAATATTACATAGTATAGTCTTTATGAATGTTAGATGGTAATTTAGTTGATACATGAATGCATAAAATTTAACTTTTATAAATATGGAAAAAAAAATGATAACTAGACTATTTAAACCTTACAAAAAGTGATCAATATAAAACTATATGAATTTTAAATAAATAAAATAGATTTGATGTTTTTCTAATACTAATTTTGAAATTTGTTTGATGATCCATGTTGAACGGGCTGATATTAAGTGGATTTGTTGTTGATTATCGATGATGATAATGATATAATGACGTTTGTATTATAATTAATTGAATATGTTGAAGATATGTTCATATTATAGTAGAATTGAATGCTCAATTCAAATAACCAAAACTAATTTTTGTTGTTAAAAGATGTTGATTAACATATGATTGATTAACAATGAATGATTTGATCAAGGGTTTAATTGAAAAAATCTGGATGAATAAGATAGAAATATTTGTTATTATAATATTAATCACAATGGTTCATCTGTTGATCAACACCCATCGGCCATCGCCGAGAGTTGTAATAGTAAACCGAGTTTATATGTTATACGAGATTTAAGTAGTTCAATATATATCAAGCATGCTTAAACATACTAGCATTGACTTAGACTCTCGGAGCCTACAACATTAGCTCCTAAAAGAGATCACTTGTCTGCAAAGTGCAAACAAAGCAAAAACTGAAATCACGCTTCCGTAAATCAAGCTTTTTAAATGTTTTTTCCTTTTCTTACAATCGCTACTTTGGCCTTGTGTTTCTTCCCTGCAAGATGATTTTGTAAATCTATCTCACTTGATGAACTCACCTTACAGATCGGACATCTCCACTCCATTTTCTTCTTTAAAGGCTCACTTGAACCAGCAAGAGTTGGTAACGACGGTGGTGGTTGTGGTGGTGGAGTTTTCTCATCTTCTTTTGAATCATTTGGAACAGACTCAGATGAGTTCTCAACAGATTTCATGGCTTTTTCGGCGTTGTCGGCTCTCAAAGCTGTCACTTTGGCTTGATGTTTCTTTCCTGCAAGATGATCCTGTAAACCACGCTCACATGGTGCACTAACCTCACAGATCGGACACCTCCACTCCATTTTATTACTTAAACTTGGACCATATTTGGGTGAGTTATTGATCACTATAGAAGCTGCTTTGACATGGTGTTTCTGTCCTGCAAGATGTTCAAGCAAACCACGTTCAGATGATGCACTAATTTTACAGATCGAACACCTCCACTCCATCTTCTTTGAATTACAAGAGTTAAGCTCAGATGAACGTCGAGCAGCCGGAAATGATGGTGATGGCTTCAGTTTGGATTCAGGCGGGGTTAGACCATAGAGGTTCAGGTTTCCCTGCAATTAAAAAACTCACAATCACGTCCTTTACCTCTTGCAATAATGATTTTGGTGCCAAAAACGAGATTTAAAATATGTTGATTCATCGATCATTCATGCATGAATATAGAAAGAGACGAAGGATACTTACCATACCAACTTTTAGGAGTGAGGTGGTGATATCATGAGATTCACCAGACTGAAGCCCTGACATAAACGACGATGAAAATCCCTTTTCGCTCTTCTTTGCCATCATTTCTCTTCCCATCATCAATTCTCTCCTCACTTCTGCTTCCAAAACGTTAAAACGCTCCACTTCCTCTGCTATAATCTTCTCGCGTATCATCTCCTTCTCAAGTTCACGCTGAATCACTTCTCTCGTATCCACCGGTCCTCCTTGAAAAGTAATACAAATTGCGGTTTAGGCAAAAGAAAAACAACACGAAGCATGAGTATTTTAACTATAATGCTCTTTTGTTGGATAGTTAATAGAACAGATTACTTGAATCGACGATTGCATACCTTCCATTGCCTGATCAAAAAAGTTAGTATGGTTGGAACAAGCTGATGATGCAGATGGTGTAGGATAGACTAATTGATTGTGCTGCATTTCCACACTGAATCCTGGCACCCTGAAATCCATTGCTACAAGGATGGAGAGATTTAGGTGCTGTTTGTTTTTTGGAAAAAACCTCTTCAAACCTCTTACTGCTGCGCGGCGCAGCACACGCGCAACACTTTTCATCTCGCAGTTGTTTGTTTTTTAGAAGTCTTCTGAGTCAAAAACCTCTGCGCGTGCTCTGTTTGGCGCAGCACTTGTACTGCCTCTTCCAACCTCTTCTTCTTCTTTTTTTATTGCTGAAATTTTGATTATATGTTATTAAAATTTTATTTCACATTTTTTTTCCTTTTTTTTTTGTTTATTCTTATTGAATTTATTTTTAATTTTTTTTATATTCAATAATGATAATTTCTTGATGAAATATCATTATTTTTTACTGAAAATATCTTTATTTTTTTGTTGAAATATCATTCTTTTTTACTGAAATATCATTCTTTTTTACTGAAATATCATTAATTTTTACCGAAATGTTATACATTATTAAATTTTACGTATTAAAAAGCTATTTTCGGTTTATAAAATTAGTTTATTTTGATTTTTTTATATCTGCAGCAGTATGCAAATGTTAAAAAAATAAACACGCTTCTTATTATAGTCTGCAGCCGTTTGGTCCACCTCTTCTACTGCAGAGGGTTGCAGAGGTGGTCCGCAGACTTCATGAATTTTTGCTTCAGAAAATCAAACAGCACCTTAGGGTTTTGCAGAAGGGAGATATTTAGTGGAAGTAAAAAAGACGAAGATGCATTGTTAGGAGTAATTCCCATTTATGAAGAAGAGAAGCTGAAGATTTAGGAATATGAATGGTTTGAGGAAGCGATATAACTACGAGGCGTCGTCGTGCTAATTTCTCCTCCCCATAAATGTTTGCAATATTTAATTCGATAAAGATAACATGGTAGTTTGATTTGTTTAAAAAAAAAAACAATAACAAAAGTACATTACAAGTTATATTTATTTGATGATCAAAATATTAAAATTATATTAATTTCTTATTTCATCTAAAGTCTTGGATTATTGAAACATAAAAACTATTAAAATAGGGTGCCAAAACATATGAGCTTTTGTAAATTCCGTGGTGGAAGCCAACCAAACAAACGGCCTTTACGAAGCTAGACGCATAAATCTGATGCAATATGCAACCAAAGTAAAATTATTGGCTGAAAAGTTTAAAACATTTCAACTACAACATGTATCTCGGTCGAAGAATAAACGAGTAGACACGTTAATTAAACAAATTGTTTTTCACATTTGGCAAAACGAGTTCTATTCGAAATAGTATAAGTAAAGTCAATAGAAGAAACATCATCGATCTCGTTCATCGAAGCAACGGACGATTGGAGACATCCAATAATGGAATATTTGTATGAAGAAACATCATCGATCTCGTTCATAGGAGGTTGGAAGTTGATGAAGATAAGATAAAATTCAAAATTAAGAGCTCTCTAGAAATATCCACCAAGCAAGACAAAACCACTATATATGCTAGTATAATACTTAATGTTATTCTTAAGCTTTAAGACATATGCCTAAAATATGTCTAAAGAGAACACACACTTTTAGCCTTCATCTTTTGCATCAAAAAGGAAGAAAGAATAATATGGGAAGAGAGCTCATGCTGTCGGTTTTTGGCAGCAAAAAACAAGTAATAAGAAGCCAAGAATAACAACCAACTTCACTAGATAAGTCCATCTCTTATATATCATCAAATGTATATTAAAGTGAAGACAATAAAATGAAAGGTGAAGCTTTTCTTACAAGCATGGGAGGAGTAATAAAATATTCAACACTGTAACTAGTCATATCTTTAATTATGTTAAAGCAAATGCTTGTAAGAGGCATGATATTAAGCATTAAACAATTCAAAAGGCAATTTACTCTCTACGAGTATAAATTTCGGCAATATGAAGAATAAACACAAAAACTAAATGCCTTTACTTAGACCATAACTAGTTAATTGGCAGCATACTAAGTGACCACTCTAAGTGCCCAAAAAAAGTTGTACACAAGATTGATAGTCAACCATACAATATTAAGTTAGTGTCGTTCTCTTTATTATTATTATCTAAAAACAATAATTTTCAATATGTTGGTAAAATATTATTTCCCAAAAATAATAAATTCTTAATTAGATACAAGTGTCGATATATTTATTAATAATCAAATTATACTAATAAATAATCAATTGATTGTAACTTGCTATAAGGTGTGACCATATATGATCATATATTATTAGCAATATCATTCTATAATGACTCTTGGGCATATAAGATTTTCAATCTCCCACTTGCACAATACTCATCATAGATTGATATAGACAGTGGTGAACATCTAGCAACATTTCACTGCCCCCAATAACATATGACGAGCTATGCCATTCATCAACATCCAGTTCCCAAAAGCTCAAAGCCTCAATTGATGTATTAAGGTAAGTTTATCAATTATCCATTTGTTTTAGACATCATGTTGAACATCAACCTTGGATCGCAATTAATCTCATTTGAAATTCAACTTTGGGTAACACGCATTAGATGTCTAACTCTCAACACATATGAGGAACAAATCTCATCTTGACTACATAAGCCTCTTGCATAGTTCACACCATACCTGACAATGACTTTTATAACTGCCTAGTTAAGGATCAACTTTTGACAATATCAAAGCATAATACTCTCTATACTTAAGTGCTACTATGTATCTTAGATGTTAAGGATACAAATATAGTACCTTTTAATCTAGTATCACTCATGACTGTTGTTTTAATATATCACCGGGTTGTGGGTCTTAAGTCTTGGATCTGATTCGGAGATCCGGGTCTAATGTTGTCTGCGTATTCCTGACTCCGTACCTAGCAAGAACCACAATAGATCGTTAGAGTTGCTCCAAGGTCGGATCCCTGGAAGCAAGCTCCAACGATCAAGTCAGATCGTTGAAGATGATGAACGGGTTATATATATTTAGCCATGGCGGATGTGAGAAGGTTGAAAGAGAAAGGGGATGTCCCTAGGGTTTTATTTTAGGAGAGAGAAGATCTCTAAAAAAGGTGGGGGACATGTTCTATTTATAGGGGACCGTTAGGTCGGAAGGACAATTATGTATTTTCCTATTGGAATTAGGTCAAAGGAAGATTAGGTTAGGCCTTGGGACCATTCAGCTCAGGCCCAGCTAGTAGGGAGCTGGACCAGACCTCCATAGGTCGTCAGTCAAGCACTTGGAGTCCATCATTCGAGCACTCGGAGGTTACCAATCGAGCGCTTGGAGGTTGCCAGACAAGGCTGTCACTCCATAACTTAAGGTCTGGACCATGCTAAATGGGCCATGCCTTAACAAGTATCCCTGGTCTGATGTGATTGGTATGCAGCCAATGACATTGGATTGGACATATTCAAATATTAAAAATGCATCAAAGAGATAAAAAGAACGACCGAACCTCCACCACAACAGATGTGGCATTGTGCGATGGGCTTATGTTGCACTAGCTAGCTTGATACTCTTTTCTTCCTAGGAGTGTGATCTGATCGATGTGATGTAACGTAGCTGTTGTTGGTAAGATGATGCAGAGTGGGGATGCTAATGATGTTATGTAGCTTCGTTATGCGGTGGATATAGTGCCAATGCTCTAGCATTTGGCAAGTAAATGTAGCATACTTGGCCCATGATTCATGCCTTCTAGTTCCTCCCGAAAGTTGTTCATGGAAACACCATTAAGGAAAAAGCGTGTGGTCTAGCCACCCGGGGGGTGTAACATCTATAAAAATCATGCCAAATTTAAACTTTTTAAAACATTTTCAAAACCAACAGTTATTACAAAACATGTTTCCAAAATAGTATAATGTCAGAGTATCCCATAATCAATCATAAAAATCATGAAATATAAGGAGTTGTATGATTACGGCTTCGCCTTCCCGCGATCATCAGAGGTACCTGAAATAAGGTAACGACTTGTTACCTTCCAGTGATGCTAAAATGTAGTAGAATTCAGATCCACAACTTTTCCTTGCTCCAAGCTCCTAGGTCTTCAAGCTCCTCTCACTAAGATCTTCCTTCCAAACTTAATAACACACAAATACGGAAAGTAATTACAATTTAGGGTTTCTGAGTTCAAAGGGAGTTGTAAGGAAGGCTAAAGTAGGCTAATGACCCTTTAAATAGGGTGCAAAACCCCGTAAATTAGGGTTTCATCCTCCAGATCCAACTCGTCGAGTCGTGTCCTCCATCTCATTGAGTTGGTCATCACTTAAGACACGCGGCCAAATCCGTTCCTACTTGGCGAGTCAATGCATCCAACTCATCGAGTAGACCTTTCAAAATGAAAATATAAGACTGTAAAGTTTATACCTGAGAGTCGGGGTGTTACATGGGAATATGATCTACACCCAACGCCGTGTAGCAGGTTATATTTCTATGTCTAAGGGAGAATTTGGAGTGGCTGGTCAGCAGTGTACATTTCTCAAGTCCCCTGTAAAGGTTTTGTGAACTGAGCTTTGCTCCACGAGCCTACTTTCGGTGCCCTCTAAGTGTTGTTTTGTTGGATTCGTTGGTATGATTTCTTAAGATCATGGATTTATTTGGATTTTCCATCGCAATTTGCTTCAAAACTCTTCATGGGGGTAGTAGTAGTAGCATACTACTCTTCCCCCTCCCCCACTTATCTTCAAAAACCAAGTGGATCGAGCTGCAACACTTATTCTGGAAGCGTATCTTCTTTAGCGGGGTCGTGGCGTGTAAACGTTTGAGTTAGGTTTATTTTTTTTTCTTGCATAGTTGGTGGGATGTTTGTTGTCTTGAACTTCCTTGCTTCGGTCCTGGATGGTTCATGTTGGTTTAGTTTCTTCTCCAAGGATAATGTCGGCGCATGAGATTTATTTGTTCATGTTTTTCCTGTCAGAGGGATTTCTTTCCAAGGGTTTGTGCTAGCCTTAGGAATTGACTGAGAGTGCTTCCTACTCACTTTGTGGGGTGTTAAGATTTGTAGGATTCTCTCTTTTTGCTAAACGATAGTTTACTTGTACCTAGCCAAAGTTCGTTGGCTCTGTCCTAGGAGTTCAGACTCGTGAGCTTGGGAGTCGTCTTTCTTTTGAGTTTGTAGCCTATATTTTTAGGTTGAGACCTTGGTTGGTCCCTTC